GTGTAGCGTGTAGAATTCAGAGTGCCGCGTGTGGAGCGCAAAGTACCATATAGCTTTCAGCGTATCTTCAGCGTTTGTTTTCGAGAAAAGGACGAAATAGGCGCCCTATTTTGCCACGTTTGTGGAAATAGAGTACTTTTGGAACATCATATATTTGTTTATCATTTTTTCGATGTGTTGATCAAATCTTTGCATAATGTTCTTTCATATCATAAAACCATTAACGCGTAGAACTTTAAACACTGTGCAAACCACTTAAGTCAGAAAAATGCCTGACAAATTTCTTGTTCATCCTTCAGGATATGTAATGGCAGTGATTGCCGTTTTCCTCCTTTTTCATCTGAAGGTGATTTCAAGGGATCTCCAGACATCTCCAAGAGATCTCCAGACATTTCAAAAGATCCGCAGAGAGCCCCCAGAGATGCCAAGGGATTCCCAGAGATTCCTGGAGATCCCTAAGGAAAGGGAAGAAGAAAAAACATGAAAGAATACTAATTACATGAAATACATAGCTCCCAGGAGTTTTTTTTTTCCCCCCCTCTAGAAGCTATATATGACATTATATTTAAGTTTTCTTTTTTTTGGGGAGATCTTGCGAGATCTCTAGGGGGATCCCCAGAGGGGATTTCTGGAGATCTTCTCTCCGATTCCGCGTGATCCGATCCGTGGGGATTTCTAGGGATCTCTACAGATATCTGGGAGGCACATTAAGAAGAAAAAAGGAAAAGGAAAATGACCTTTGCCATTAGAAACAAAATAGTTTTTAAAGTTTTTGAAAAAACGGCAATGCATAAGGTTGTCCAATGATTACTTCCATGGATTATTTTGCCAATGTTCCTCAGCAGAATGGTGCCAGAGAAAGCCAGGACAACTCCTTTTACAATAGTTTAAACTAATAATACCCTTCAAAAAACACGTAATTTTCCATTATTTTATGTTGGGAAGAAGACTTTAGCACGAGCTTTGCCCTAACCCCGTTTTTGTAGCTAGGTCTGTGCTAGTGCAACTACAGGCTATCAGTATTTAGGCTAAGCATATTGTTTGATCAGGAATTTCAGAAATTGTGTTACCATGACAACCAATACAAAGTCTTTTATCTACCATTTTGCAATGACATCCTTAATGATAGTTATATGCAGTTCTAATAGTGTGATGATGTGTAATGTCCAGATATGTGTTATGCCTACATTGCTTGTATTTGACATTATTTCCAAGCTCTCTGCTTGTTTGCAATGTTGGTTTGTGAGAGAGACAGTTACAAGTTAATGCCACTGTCAATTTGACAAAGTGATTCCTGTTGACAAAAATAGCATGCATACAAGGATTTCTTCCAATGGTTCCTATCTTAAACTCTAAATTTATGGAATGGTCCTGCTATATGTTGGATTGAGGCTGATCTCTGCTACGTGCATGTGGGATTGACTTTACCTTGTTGTTTTTCTATGGTGATTGAACAAAATAGGCTTGCATATTTCATTTGCTTTGTTCCCCGTGAGAAGAGTCATTTGCTGCATGCCCCTCCATGGCTACTGTTAACTTGTGATATCATATTCACTTGATTACAGAAATTGATAGAGTCATTAAGATCGACGCTGCCATTGTCTTTCTTTTCATTTCAATCTTTTTGATGATCATTCTAATCAATTTGAATCACGTTGGTTTATATTGGATAGTTATTGTGAGGTGTTGATTTTCAACCCTTAATACTTACATCCTTTGCGAGTGCAGCTGCTTGTATTTTAAATGATGTTGTGAAGTCCAAACTTCAGTTGCGCATGTAAAAAGCCACCAATCTAATCAATACAGCTAAACAACAGCATTTGCAATTATTTATATAACGTGATGTCAAAAGGGGATCTGCCTTGGCAAAAATATTTTGTTTTGCTATTGTGCTAAGCATTAGGTCATTAGCTATTGTCAACACATAGACACAGACAACTATATGTATAGATACTGAGCTTGCTCCTTGCCATGTCTATTTCCAAGCAGCTGTGCAAAAACCATTGGAAGAACACTTTACAAACAAAGGATTTCGATCCTACCTCCAGTCCTACAATACTATTTGACAAACACTTTACTGAACTAGATGAAACAAGAACCAAATAAAGTATCCAATAGGAATGTAGCAGACATAAAGTAAACAACATAAACACAAAAATTCTTTTGAAAACAACATGCTATGAATATAAACCATTAAAAACACGCAAAAAACACGTAAAAATGGGGCCCTATTTTGTCACACTCTCTTGTTTTCTTGGTCTACTTGCTCATGCGTTCATTAAAAAAACATTCGGGTTCTTAGATAATTTCACCAGTTTCTTATCAACGAATCGTAGTTTCTCTTGCTTAATTTACCTCTTGGCACGCGCAAAAGCCTATGACTCCCGTGAAATTTGACAGCTATCCTTGCCACGCCGCTTTTGGTTCTTGAACAACGACACTTCGCAACCTGATTTGAGGCCATGGATGACATGGTTAGAGAGGGGGTGGGGTGGGGCAGCAAAGCACACCTGTTTGTTTATGAGATTTTGTTTTCTGGTGCTGGCGAAACAAAAGTAATTTTCCACAGAATCACTTTTAAAAGATGAAGACGCCAAGCAACATGTTGATTTCGCCGCAGTTTCCAGCACTTTGGCTGCTCGATAGCAATGTTTTGGTGTGACCACTTTTCCCTCATATCGTTTTTCTTGTCATCATCGTCAGCATGGTCACCAGCTCACCATCACCCTACCTAGCATTGCCAATCGCACTATCATCGACCCTCATCACCGGTGCCGATGCTATTACCTAACTTTAGCATTTCAAGTTATATTCATCATCTCAACCACCACAGATCACAGTTATGAAAATCCTCCCCTTTCTCCTTTTGGATCTCCAAGCAAATACCAGTTCCTTCCCCGTTCTCGGTGGCTGACTTCACCAGTCGGCTACTTGAGGTGAGTTCACTTACATCACCGATTTGAATTTGGTTGCAGGACCATCGGGGAATAGACAGGGTTTGTGATTTGTGATATGACTTAGGCCATTTTGATGGCCTTGCAGTTGACAATCCTTTGAGTTTCATGTTTGCGAAGTTGGCTGAAATTATGTTAGCTCAAATCGCAAGTGTGGAAATTGAACATTGCAAGACTCAAAGACAGAATGCGCGAAGGACCCACCTGATAAAGTGATCTGAAGCGGCTTCTTAAGTTCTTGAACCACCATAAGTGGTGGTTTGCAGCTTGCAATTTTCTTGTGTCAGGAATGATCAAAGACTTGCTGATGCGCAAATTGCAAGATTTGCTGTCCAAGGGTGACCTGCCAGCTTATCGCTTCTACCTGAACCAGCAACACGTGCGCTTCCGAAAATGTCGTGTGGAAGCCATCCAAGGCCTGTCTTGCTGAGAGGTACTGGGGGAAATTTGGGCGCCATTCAAAGGTTTCCAATATTGCCGCTACATCTACATCTATGTCTATATCTATATCTAGATAAATAAATAACTGTATATATATATATATAACATATGTGTGTGGACATGTACATGTAAATGTGTATGTACGAGATAGGTCTCCTCACGGGCCTCCGGGCACACGGGCACACGGGCACACGAGGAATCCACGGGCACACGGGCACACGAGGAATCCACGGGCACACGGGCACACGAGGAATCCACGGGCACACGGGCGCAGGAATCAACGAAACTCAGGTAACATGACAGAATCATGACAACACTGCGGCGGCAGAACGGCGAGCCCGCAGAAAGGAATCTACGGTGCACGGAGCCATAGCAACGCATGACGAAATGACTTAAGATCAAGGCAAACAACAACATTACGCTGCACGCAAACAGCGGCGCAGGAATCAACGAAACTCAGGTAACATGACAGAATCATGACAACACTGCGGCGGCAGAACGGCGAGCCCGCAGAAAGTAGGTAAGGTATGTAATATACATTGCACTGGAGTACTTGCTGATTGAAGGTTGCATCGTTGAAAGTCAAATGAGCAATTTCAATTAACGATGAGTTTTGGGATGGGCGCCACCAATCGTCGCCATGCGAAAAAGGTTTGGTTCCTGGGAACGATTGCGCGGACATTGCGGAGAAGTTTTTCCACGAGAAGCTGGGCCGATGGTATGACCGAGGCAACAAGTCCACACTAGTGGATGGCCTTGTTTCAAGTGGAATCCTGTGAGCTCAATAGGTTCAACACATTTGATACATCTTCTATTTAGGAGCTTGGGCAATTTCCTCTAATGCTGAGCCGCTCATATGTTTTCAATCAAGAGTGAGACCAGTTTTACAACGGAAAAGTTGGCTGCGCAGTTCGATCAGTGCACCGTGGGTAGGAAACCAATCACACCAATTGATGGTGGTGCCATCAGAAACCTTGCGCAAAATGAACAAAACTGAGTGACGAAGTAGACTTGGAGGTGCAGTGTCATCTTTTATCGGACCTCCCGCCTCTCTTTCGTGTGTCTTAAGAAGTGACCCAGAATCAGTGGGAAGTGTGATGTCATCATGACAAAAAACGGGGTATTGTTCACAGTTCTTCAACCAAACTACACTACTTGTAGGACACATGCTAATGTACATGACATCTTGTAATATCATGATGCTGCTGCTGATGATGATGAGGATTGTGAAGTACAACATAGTACAACGCTTTCCTGATTGTACATGTGTTTCGGTTCCCTTGTACATGCAGTTGGTACATACTTGGCTTAGTACATGACTGGGCTCAATACAGGGCCCTAGGTCGCAGATGGTGCAGCTGCTTCGCTACAGAGAGAGTGCTTACAGCAACTGAATTTTACATGGTAGCGGACCAGTGATCCTTGGACGATACAGGACAGGGTGAGCTGCAATACACAAGGCAACAAAGCAACAGCAGTTGAGAGAGCACAGCAAGACAAACATGGACGCAGCTGAAGGAGAACTACAATCAACGCACGAGCACAAACTATAACCACCATACTTCGCAGGGCTACAAAATTCAGAGCTCCCATGGCTACTACAAACAGCAGAAACATCCAACATGGAGGTGGCAGACGCCCTCCTTAGAGATGGAGAAAATACACTACAAGAAGCCCAACTTTGGGTACAACTCAGGAGAGACCTGCACTACATACTGGCTAGCGTTTATTCAGGACAAGCAGCAGTATTTTGCAGACAGCGCAGTGCGCAAGCACAAGGCTTGGAGACCTGGAGGCGACTACACAACAGGTTCTCGATACCAGTAGGTACACGCAGTGTAGGATACCTTGCGGGACTGGCCAAGCCACAATTCAACGAACAGAAGTTTGAAGAGTCATTTGCAACCTGGGAATTCGAAATCGCCCGGTACGAGAGGGACAATCAAGCACCAGTACCAGACGTAGGTGAATCATAGGTACTATGAGAAACAATTTGTGCATCTCCCTTTATTGTCCTCCTAGTTGCATGCGCCGGACTGTCATACTGAAGGGACAGACAGCTTTCAGTGCACCATTGCATTTGGGAAAACAGATTTCCAAACCCTCGGTTTTGACTTCGTTTCCTTGTGGTTGCATTTTTCGTCCAGCAGTACACCAACCGACATCCTGTGGAGACTACACAAAGCTATGTACGGCTGACCTAGCTCATCAAAAGCCTGGCAGGAACACCTGGCCAAGGCGCTTGCAGACCTCGGTCCCACATGACTACAGTCGAAGCCCAACGTCTACATCAACGGCAATGTGTGCATCATGGTCTACGTGGATGACCTCTTGTTCATCGGCGAACCGAGGAGGTTACACGCATCTTCAAGGAGATACAAACCAAGATGTTACTGCGACACAGAGGCGCTTGTACAACAGGCAAGACAGTCGACTCCCTCGGTCGATGAATTACAAGCAAAGGAGTCCACTGTGAAATTTCACTCGACGACAGCTACACCAACAACATACTACAAGAAGCCAACCTACTCAAAGCAACGCCGGCAGTTACACCAGGAGCAACAGCAGGAGCAACAACTTCCACTACAACAAGAGAGGAAGAAGAGCTATATACCCGATTAGCAAGAATATGCCCAATACACGCGCTTGGTCGGAAAGCTACAGTGGCTTGAATACACAACCTGACCTGAGCTTTGCAGTAAAGGAGTTGGCTGGCTCCTTACAGCAAGCCACCAGTCGGGGACAAGCAGCGTCTCCGACACTGCCAACCATACCTGGCAGGTACGTCGATTCACAAGTTTGCGACACAACCAAAAATACAACTTACATCAACAAATGAGGAACTCCTTGACCGGAACGTGTACACGGAAGCCGATTGGGCTGGTTGTCACGTTACACGAAAGAGCACGACAGGTTTCGTGATCCAATTTTTGGGTACGCCAGTGCACTTTGGATTCCGTACCCAGGCAGGGGTAGCATTCTCATCAGCGGAAAGTGAGTTCTATGCCGTCGGTACAGGAGCAACAGAGAGTGCACTTAGGAGAATTTCTTACAAACAAAATTTACTTCAAGGTGCGCACTGACAACTCGTCCGGCAAAAGTATGGCTACACGCATCGGAGTCTCCAAGAGAGCCAAACACATTGAACTGAAGCACATGTTCATCCAACATCTCATCCACGATGATATCCCCGCGATACACAAGATCAACTCCAAGCACAGGCCAAATGACATACTTACTCATGAGGTATGTGCCAAGAGAAGTGCTACAATGGCACTTGTACCAAGCGGGCATATTCCCGGTAGAGAGCTGAGGAGATATACAGCTTTCACAGTTTCACCACAGCAGCTGAGGAGAGATTCATTGGGAGATTTTGAGCTGTACATGTGATTTGTGCTGAAAGAGTGCAGTTTGATTTCGCCGGCCGTGCATCCGATCCTTTAGGTGCAGGATCCAACTTTCAGATACAGACTCCAAAGTACAGAATAGTCTGTACATCATGGACCGCCTGGAAATGGGCTCAGTGCGTCTGTACGCCAGTTTGTTCAAGGGTACAGACCTTGCCGACATCACTCATGACGTGCTAGTGGGGAAGTGCAGGGCAAGAACAATACAGTCCGTGCCAGCTTCACTCACTGTGGGTGCATGACCTTCACAACTGCTGAGTGCAACCTCTTCAAGCATGAGGATGGAACTCCAGAAGGGTACACCAAGTCGTTTGCAAGAAACCAATGGAAGGCGCAGACTGAGAACAACCTTTAGCAATTCCGGTGCATGCTTCCATGCATGACAGAATTTTGTACATGCTTTGGGCGTTGGTCCGCACGGCACTGTACAATGCCTCTCCGAGCGTTTTGTGGGTTTGGGCCTGTTCCATTTCCTGGACAAAGGTCTTGCAGTGCAAGATGACTGCAACCGAGGCTGCTGTGCAGTTCAGCGACAAGTCCTTGGGTTGTACGCCATGGATGTTCTGGAACTGGCTGAGCAGAGAACGTTCAAGCTGACCTTGGACATCGCCAACATTTGCGCCAAGTACAGCTGGCTTCGTGGTGTGTTGCAACCATTTCTTGGTACACGAGTAGACCGTGCCATTGCTGCAATGGTCTGGGACAGGCCATTGGACGTACGCCCAAGGCCGTCTTGGGCTAAGCATCTTCTTGTTGAGGTACACGGTCAGATGATAGCTGGTAGAGTGCAGGTTGATCTTCGATGCATCCCTGTGAGTCAACCATGCACTTTTAGCTGCTATCAGCTGAGTACAGATTCAGAAAGTACAGTCAGCAACCAAGACTTCGAATCGCCCGCCAGATTGTACATACTGAAATTACGGCTGCAAAATGCTGGACCTTTAACGTCGGTACAGTTTAAAATACATGTGGATGGATGTGGTGAGGGTTCAGTCATGAAATTGAGAGGAGGTGTTAAGTACAAGACTTTCCTGTTTCGCTTGTACATGCAGTTGTTATATACATACTTGGCCTGGCGCATGGCCGGGCTCAACGCAGGGCCCTGGAGCGATACAACCAAAAGGTCTCAGACAGTACAGCTGCTTTGTTACAGAGAGAGAGAGAGAATGCTTACAGCATTGAACTTTACAATGATGAATGATGACGATGTTGATGGTGATGATGACGACGGTGATGATCATCATGATGATGATGATGATGACGATGATGACGATGACGGTGGTGTTGGTGATGATGCTGATGATGTTGTTGATGATGAAGATGGAAGAGGGGCATGGCGGCACAATTTCATCCCAGGAATGGCTGCTCGAGCGTTGATGACCGGGACCGAGCAGGCTGGTCATCGATGTGCTACGCGGCCATCAATGGAAACCCGCAGCTAATGACAAGGCTCTTAGAGTTGCACGGCGATCCCAACGATCGCACGCACCAGGGCAAGGCGGAGGCTTTCCTGCCGAAGCATCTGCCCCTGGTGTCGCTCTGTACCTATTTCTGCAACAACGAGGCTTTGAAGATCCTGTTGGAGGCGCATGCCAATCCGAACCAGAGAGACGCCCGGAAGCTCGACAGCAGGATGAAGGTCTTTTTCCCGAATGCGTAGCAAGGGTTCCAGTTTCACTCTGGGGGTCTGGGAGTCGAGGGTGTGTTCGCTCGACGTTGCCCAACCGTCCGCAACCGGCCGCAACCGTCCGCAACGTCCGCAACCGTCCGCAACCCTTTGCAACCGTCCGCAACCGTTCGCCGTTCGCAACCGTTCGCAACCGTCTGCGCGAGGTCGCTATGGCCGTGCCTATGGTAAGTTCTGCAAAAGGGGTCGCTTTTGGAGGTTTCAAACGTCGTGTTGTTTCATTTCGCGTGGCAGGCGTGGCACTTCGTGACATTCAGACGTGGTTTTGTAACGTGTCGAAAGTCGTTTTGTGTGGCAGGCGCAATACTTTTGCGACGTTCTCAGCAGATGCGTTGCATTTTTCATGGCAGGCGCAGCACTTTGGACGTGTCCATCGTCATTTTGCGGCAGGCGCAGCACTTTAGACGTGTCGTGTTGCGTGTTTTTGCGAATCGCATTGTCAGGGCTGCGTCAAGTGGCGACAAGGTGCAGATTCCGTGGCAGGCGTGGCATTTTGTGAGATGTGATGAAAAGTGATGGAAGCCTCGCACGAAACATCGATTTTGAGGTCGCAAATTTTCCGGTTCTAAGGAAAACTCGTAGGAAAACATCGATTTTGAAGCTACAAAGTGTGAAAATTGGAGGAAGTCTCGCACGAAATGCTCGTTTTGATGCTCCCACGTGTCTCGTCTCGAGTCTCTGGTTTTCCCGTGGCCTCGCTGTGTCTGTGGGGGAAGCTGCAGCACCTCTCCTTTTCGAAGGTTTCCAAGCAAGTTGTCATGTCGTATTTGCGTGGCAGGCGCGGCACTTTGTGACATTCCAACCTGTTTGATAACGTGTCGAAAGTCGTTTTGTGTGGCAGGCACAATACTTTTGCGTCGTTTTCACAAGATGAGTCGCAGTTTTCGTGGCAGTCGCAACATTTTGGACACCTCTGTCGACTCCACACTCCACACTCTACACTCCACACTCCACACTCCACCCTTTGCACTTCACACTCCGCACTTTACATTCCACACTTTACACGCTACACTCCACACTCTACACTTTACACTCCACACTTTACACTCCACACTCCACACTTTACACTTTACACAATACACTGTGCACTTTACACTCCGCACTTTACACTCTACACTTTACAGTCTACACTCCAACACTTTACACTCCACACTCTACACTCCACACGTTGCACTCCACACTCCGCACGTTACACTCTACACATTACACTCCACACTCTACACTCCACACTTTACACTTCACACTCCACACTCTATACTCCACACTTTACACTCCACACTCCACACTTTACAATCTACACTTTACACGTCGCACTCTACACTCCACACTTTACACTCCACACTTTACACTTTACACTCACCACTCTACACTCCACACTCACACTTTGCACTTTACACTCCACACTTTATACTCCACACTTTACACTCCACACTCCACACTTTACACGTCGCACTCTACACTCCACACTTTACACTCCACACTTTACAGTCCACAGTCTACACTCCACACTTTGCACTCCACACTCCGCACTTTACACTTTACACTCCACACTCTATACTCCACACTTTACACTCCACACTCCGCACTTTACAATCTGCACTTTACACGTCACACTCTACACGTCACACTCTACACTCCACACTTTACACTCCACACACTACATTCCACACTCACGCTTTACACTTTACACTCCACACTCTATACTTCACACTTTACACTCCACACTTTACACTTTACACGTCGCACTCTTCTCTCCACACTTTACGCTCCACACTTTACTCTCCACAGTCTACACTCCACACTTTACACTCCACACTTTACACTCCACACTTTACAGTCCATACTCTACACTCCACACTCCACACTTTACACCCCACACTTCACACTCCACACTCCGCTCTTTACACTTTACACTCTACACTTTACACGTCACACTCTACACTCCACACTACATTCCAGACTGTACACCCCACACTTTACACTTTACACGTCGCACTCTACACTTTACACGCCACACTCCACAATCCCCATTTCACATTCTACACACTACATTCCCCACTCAACACTCCACTTTCTTCACACCCCGCACTTTGCACTCCACCCTCTTCCGGATCCCACAGTCTACACTGCACTGGTACGGCAACAGGGGAAAAATGTACAAGACTGTTTAAATCACTTGTTTCGCAAGAGTGTTTTACGTGACTGCATTCGGGTTCGTGGGCTGCATCTGGTTTTTCGTGGGCATATTATAATATCGGGGTTCAAAATCCCGGGTTTGACATTGCCAAATTGGTTGGATGAGCATCCCCACATTCGGGGATGGTCATGCCCTCAGTAATAGTGGCTGTATTTACAGATACATATACAATCAGCAAGCCCACACATACGTCAACATAAATGTCAATAACGGCTAACAACGGTATGTGAGATAAACGGGATGAGAGAGAGATATATATATATGTTATGTATATATAGACAGAGATACATTACATTACACTATATACATTGTATTGCATTGTTTGGCATTGATAGCGTTACAGTAGCATTAACATTGACATTGACATTACCATGAACATGGGAATGAACATTAACATCAACATTAACATGTACATTTAGATTTACATTTACTTGTGCATGTGCAGTTGCATTTTACATTTACATTTACATACATTACATACAAATCCCAATACTGATGTGCACATCTTGGTTGCAATCCAATGTTGAATGGCCATTCATGCTCTGAGGCACGGTGCGCCCCTTTTTTGGGCCAACCTTTGTGACAACGTCACTGGCGCGCGGCTCCTTTTGGACTTTCGAGCGGATCCGCTGATGGAAGGCATATTGAAGGGGCGGGATCCGGATTGAAAAGGGCCAACCTTGGCGTAGCAACCGGGAAAAAACCAGGGATATTGTGATATGATATAACATGATATAACCAAAGAAAGGAAACGGGTTTTAACTATATTTTAACCATCAAACAAGTGGCCCCAGTTCCCGTGAAACCATTGGGGCATTTGACCAGCGTTGGTGAAACCATTGGGTACTGCTACCCGCTTACATAAGTATGGTATAGATGGCCCATTTTGTCCCATGATTTACCTCTGCAAATGGTGATTTTCCATAGCAAACAATTGAATTACCAGAGGGTAAAGGATTTGTGGGTTCAGTCCGAAATTTTGAGGCCATATCCATATGAACCTTGCAAGAACAACCAGCAATGGACACCCCCAACGCGCTACCTGAAGCAGGAGATCAGTAACACCAGTCAGTCCACCAACCTTGAGACAACTGACAGGTAATCCGCCCTTGACCGTTACTGAAGCTGCATGCTCTGTGGGCGCAATTCGCATCATCCAGGAGTACCTCCCCGTGGAGCGAATCCGCAGTCAGTCTCGAAACCTCTTGCCTCTCGGCGCTCAGCATGGACCTTGAGAAATTTCCAGCTAAAATCCTGGAACAACCCTTCATATTCATAGCATTTCATAACTAGTGGGACATTCGGAATATTATTACCCTCTGCTAATTTTACATTGCTACTGAAAGTGGCCCATTGATAGCTGATTTTGCTATTAATCCCTATCAAAAAGAAGGGGTCGAGATCGGTGGGGTTTAGTTAAGAGTGGTTTTCCTTAGTAACCCCAGCAAAATAAGATAAAATGGTGATTCTCCATAGCTATGTCAGTTTACCACAGGATATATGAAGGGTATATGTTATCCGTTTTTGGATCGCCTGGGCCACAGTGTTCACCTGAGGCACATTGCGTTGATGATCAAAGGTGGATCTCCGGAATTTATCGACACTTTGATCAAGCACGGTGTTGATGTGAACGAAACGTGGCTAGGCAGCTGGTGATGGTACGAATCCTTATTACCCAATGGATCTTCATTTTGTTATGCAATGGTGGCCCGCCTGTGTCATTTTTCTTGTCAGTTGCTTCAAACTGCAGGTTTTCCTTGACCAAGCTGAATATGCTGAAGAACATCTTGGTTGCAAAGCACTATGTGTCTTGACGAACCTCCTATAAGGTGCCAGGCTGTTAAAAAATGGTTTTGATTTTGTCACGTTTTTTTTGGGTACCCCAAAATGGTCATGGAATGGCATGCAAAATAGAAACTAGGGTAGCCTATGTTCAGACAAAGCCATATCCAGCCAAAACACTAGCTCCTTCAAGACTGTGGCGCTAAGAGGAGACTAGTGAAGACACATCAAGACAAGCAATACGAGCAGCTCAAGTGGTGGCAGGAACAACCACAAAAGTGATAATAGCAAGAAGAGAAAGAGAAGGATGATAACAGGTAAGAGCAGAAGAAAAAGGCAAATATAGACAGCTGAACTGCAATCACCGGCTCAAGGTTTGTGGGCCATCAACATTGTCTTCAGTCTTTTACCATGCAAAAGGTTCGACGCTGCTTGCCTGCTATGGGAGAAAGCCTTTCATGGTGATTCAGCCCCTCAAAAAGGTGACTCCCACAAGAATAGATGGTTAGGCTCGCCCTTAACAATGTGGTTCTGGATGGTTAATAAACCTCAATAATGCGGTAAATCCAACAATAAATGATCCCTAATATTCTTATTTTTATAGGTGGGGTTTCAACTGTTTTCAAAGGGTAGGGTTATGGCAGCCAGGGTTTACCACATTAAAGCCATCTCAGCACCCCTTCGGATTCGGAACGTTCCCAGGCCGTTGATGCTGGCCATTTTGTCTGGATCATTCACGGCAGCAGTGGCCCGGCGATGATTTTGGGCTCCTATTTTTGGGTGTGCAAAACAACTGGGAAAAATTGGACCAAGGAGCTTTTGCTGGAGGCTAAAGCCACCGTTGATGTGCGGAACTCGCGCAACAGGCGGGAAAGCTTCGGGAATGCCCCGTCCGCCATGGGACATCTTTGGGACTTCATGGCTTCATTGGGGACATTGGACAGTTGAATGAGGTGAATAATTGTGACCCACTCATAGCAGTGCGTCAGTGGCAAACTTCTTGAAGCTTTTTAACCGCAATGTCCGAGTTACCTGGGAAATTTTGGGAATTTGTCTAGCAATGGCAATTTCCCTGATATTCCCTGTGTAGACATCAATTTTGCGTTCTGTTGCAGAACGGCCCTAGACTTCGCAGCTGAGAAGCAAGCTCCGATGCAACTTTGATCACTGGGATCGGGGAGATTGGCTGGGAATCATATGGATGTAATGCTAGAAATATGGCGAAAAAGAAACGGTGCTCAGTGCTCGAAACCTCAAAAATGGATAAAAATGAACCAAACGCACCCCAGTGGTTTGAACAGTCAGAACATTGGTGGATTTTACCCATCGAAATCAGGATATGTTTCTATGGCCAAAATTGGGTACGGAAAAATAGAATGATCTATGTATACCGCTGTATACTTGAGGTCTCAAAGTCCCGTAGAAAATATGACCCATGCGCAGGATATCAACCGAAGCGGTGGATCGAGTTAGCAGATGATTTTGAAATGGACTAAATACCTTAGGGAAATCCAATAACCTCATGACCGACCTCAACCCAAGCACATGTTTGCCAACTAACTTATAGTCACCCGCAAAAATGTTAACAAAACATCATCCTGAAGATGACTTGTTCGGGGTGACCAATTTCATCATGAAATGTTGAGTTTAACTTAAGCAAAGATCTTGGGATGGTTTTTGATCCTATGGTTGATGGACATATGACATATGACATATGACATACATGAAATCATTACATATGACATATGATATATGACGATATATATATATGTATGTATGTATGTATATATAGGAGGTCTGCTTGTACAAGTGTACAAGGGCAAAGGAGAAAAGTCCGCTTGCACTTCGTTCAGATGACTCCTCGTATCCAGTCATTTGGTAAGGCCGTGCGCAGAGCCATGAGAACGCACCAGGCAAATGTGTTCGAGCACTACCTCCAGGCGCAGCAAATCGGCAGCAGACGTGCCATGCCGGTTACCTATGGAGTACAAGAGCGTTTCTACGTCAAGCCAAGAATGCAGGTGTACTCTTCCTAGACTTCAAGGAGGCGTTCTACTGCATTCTACGGCCCATCTGTATGGATGGGCTGGTCACTGGGGCCGTGGCATCTTTCATTGCAAAGCTTCGAATGCCACCTGATGCCTTCACGCGGGACCAGCACCTCATCAGCACCTTCCCATTGCTTCAGAAGTTGCAACCCTTCCAACAGATGATTCCATGTGCCCATCCAGTCTTTGAGTTTCTTGGCCCTGCTTGGATGGACGACCTAGCGGCGTGCGTCCAGGGTGAATCACCAGACCAAGTCGTGCGCAAGGTTCGCCTTGTGACTGGACGACTCCTTGAGCTGTGCATGGAGCACTGCATGTCTCCTAACGTCAGCAAGAACAAAACGGAAATTTTGTTTTCATTTCGAGGCAAACAGTCTCGTAAGCAGAAGACGAAGTTCAACGGCCCGGCAGCTTCTAGTGCGCTACCGGTTCTCACAGAATATGGTGTTGTTGATGTCCCTTTGACGACCAGTTATCGGCATTTTACATCATGCAGGAGACCCTCAGGAAGAAATCCGCAGAAGACTTGGCATTGCTTAGACCACGCTCAATCATCACCGCAAGCTTCTGTTTCGCATTGGGCAATACCGCTTGAAACAGCTCCTGGAATCTTTGGTGCTCAGCAAGCTCCTCTACGGTGCAGAGACCTGGTTTGTCACTGAGGATGCAACAGTCCGATATTTTCCTGCGGCAGTGATCAGACTCTACCGACGGCTTCTTCCAGTACCTGCTGCACAGCACCTAGCTGATGATGAGTTCATCTCCCAAGTAGCCCCATTGACTTGATCAGACGATCGAGGTTGCGACATATTGCAACTTTGATGCGCTGCGGAAAGAGACAAGAATGGGGGCTGTTAGCTAGTGACATCACTTGGACATCGCTGCTGGAAGATGACTTGGTTTGGATGTGGCAGCAGGTGCATCACAGCTCGTAGCTTCCTGATCCTCGGCACCATTGGAGTGCTTGGGAGGAGACCATTCTTTACCACAGATCCTACTGGCGTCGATTGGTGCGCAAAGCATATAAACACTCGATCTTACAGCGTCGTAAGAACTGGCTTGTGCAGGAGTTCTATGGCCAGTTTGCCCAGTTTTGTCGAGATTTCTACAACTATGAGCCTCACTCCAACACCGAACCCAGCAGAGTTGGACAAACGTTTGGCTGCCTCATTTGCCGGCGCAGATGCAAGAATCGTGCAGGGGAAGCTGCACACATGTTTCGGGTGCACCAACATGTTGCCAAACGCAGGCGATTGGTCGACACCGCCAATTGTCCTGCGTGTCTCAAAGAGTACAACGCCATGGAGAAGCTCACCGCTCATTTGTACTATGCGCGCAGCTGCAGGCTCACATTGCTTAGACGCAATTATGCATGTCATCATGTGCCTGGTGCGGGCTCTCAAGACGATCGTACGAGACGACATGCTCATGATTGGTTGCTTCCGCCTCTTCAAGCAGAAGGACTCCATCTCCCACAACAACGCATAAGGGAGGAAAATGAAGTTGATACAGATTTCCATCTGTTCCTCATGGAGACCTTCATTGATGCAGATGACGCGGGAGAAGCACTTCGACGCATTGTGGACCAGGCTGATGCCAGCCCTATGACCTGGACTAGCTGGACAAGCACCTTGCACTTCTTCATGGAGACGCTGGCCGAGGAGGACATACAACGATGGAACACGCAGCTTTGCAACATCAAAGCTTAGCTTCAGCAGCTCTTGGATCCTGCGAGATGGAGTTTGGACCTGCCTTTCGAGGCACCTGCCCGTGACCTTGAGGGTTTGGAGCAAGAATGCCGTGATGTTGCGGTGACGGAATGGCGTGACCATCGAGAAGTCCAACGTGCATGCCTTTTGGCGGCATCGGGTGCTTTCGCATATGTTCTCAGGCCGCCGCAGAATTGGCGATTTGCAGTTCTACCTGGACCGCATGCCTCCGCCTGAGCACTATGTGCTTCATGTGGTTAGCATGGACGTGGTCGTGGATCGAGTTTGGGAATAGCTCCAGGGACCAGAACCTACTGGCTCAGCTATACTGAAGCAGGCTACGTGGCTGCCTTCTTAGAGGGCCCCCGTGTGAAACATGGTCTGTTGCTCCCGGCAAAGCCATTCCGACAAAGCCGCAAAGGCAAGCTCCGAGGATCCCGCGCACCGCATCACAGCTCTGGGGCCTGCCCTGTTTGGCGCTCAAAGAATTGTCACAAGTTCTCACGGGCAATCAACTGCTGATCTTCACGCTTTTGGTGGCTAGCCGCATGGTCTCCAGTGGAAGCCTTGGGGTAGCCCCTTGATGATGACGCAGCGGCCATTGTCCCATCCCGGCCGTGTTTTTGGGGCGCCCTCCCCCAAGCCGACCGATTTCATCATCATTAACATGCCGCATTTGGTCGCAGATCTTCGGGCATGGATGACCAGGACTGAGCCCCGGAAAGATACAGCCATAGGTCTCACGAAAGAGGGTTTTGGAAAACCGGATATTTGAAAGAATATCCGCCTGCCATGCGCGAAGCACTGGCAGATTCTTGTCGCACAGGCCTTGACGGCCTTAGCGCAGCATCCATGCCAGACCCGCCTGCAGATGAACTGCAAAGATGGCAAAACCTGACGGTGACACCATATAGCAGTCACTTAGGTGCCGATTATGCAGGTTGAGGCGGCGTGGAGAATTCGCACACCAAGCATCGGCCGCAGCGTGCAAGCATCTATGGGCCATAAGGGTAAAGGAAAAAAAGGTGTATATTGCATATATAGATATACATATATGTATATTTGATATGTGAATATATATATATACAATTATTGACACAAACAACATTTCAAACAATTTTTAACGATCTATCTCTGTGATCAGTCGCTCGAGGTCGCTGCTCCTGGCCCTGCGAGCTAAGCGTGGCGTTTCGGAGCACTGGTTTCTGTGACTTGGAGAGTGGTGAACGTGGCGAAACTACCAACGGGTTTCAGGGGATGTGCGAGAAACCATGA